ATTTGGTTTGAAAAGGGAGGGGGTTTTGGGGGGGGGGGGGGGGGGGGCGTACTCTTATGCTTTGCATGCCTTAGCGGTTAGACCATTGACCACGCGTCCTCGAGAGGACGGAGCATTGTTCCCACAGGACCGATCACCGATGGCCAATCGTTCCTTCCTACTTTGCCAAAGGTGGCTCAAAAATGTCTTCCCTAGTTTGTCTATCCTACCGATGTCACTTCCCGCCTTTTCAAACCACTTTCTACTCCCCAGTACCGCTACCGTCCTCTCCTCTCTATTCCATGCCTCAAACATCTCCCTGTACGTCCCTTGTATTCTTCCCAGCTCAGTCATGTACACTTCCCTCTCCTTTTCGTACCACGGACATTCCGCGACTACATCAACACTGTCTTCGCATTCGAAGCCGCAATCGCATTTGAACTTGTCGTCTTCGTCGTCTACCGTCCTATGTCTTCGTCGACGTTCGCGAAGGCCTATGTCCCCGGTCCTGAATTTGACCTTAAGCTTTGTCCCTGCATCCATTGGTCCATGTAGGTAATCCTTGAACCCCATTCCTTCTTTCAACATTCCGTACACTTCTAGACCCTCCTTATCCTTGGATTCTTTCCTTAGATTCTGTTCTTCTCTGTCGGCACAAGCAACAGATATCTTCTTCTTGAACCCCTGTAGACCCTCCGTTTCCAGCGTTTCATCTTCGTCGATGTCCAATCCCTTCCATACGTCCTCTACAACCTTGACCCATTCCGTGGGTTGTCTACCCCTCTTTTTGTTTGCCCACTTCGCCTCCCATACTATTCTCGGCAACCTCTCCTCTCCCATCCCGCACATGCGATACTGCCATGTCAGCTTCCTTACGTCTCTTCCCGACCGTAGGGATTGGATCCCCAATTCTGCCCTGACTGCTGCATTACTTGTGCGCTTGGAGCATCCTAGGATGATTTTCGCTGCTTTCATCTGCGCCGCCTCGAGTTCTTTCACTACCTTCTTATTTCCTTCCCATACTTCTCCGGCGTACTCTAGCGGCGGTACGATTACGCTCTTCAAAACCGTCAGTTTGATGCGTGTATCGAGGTGCCGGTTTGCGAGTATTGGGTGCAGCTTCCCTGCTCGTGCTTTGCCCTTTTCCGCTACCTTGGACATGTGTGCATTCCACGAGCAATCTTTTGCGATCTCTACTCCGAGGTATGTGTACTGGTCCACTACTGCAATCTCCTCCATCCCCCACTTCCATCTATGTTCTACTGGTTCCTTCCTGCCCTCGTTGCATACCATGACGGCACTCTTCGCAACGTTGGCAGACAATCTCCACTTATCAGTAAACTTCTTCGCCCCGTCAATTTGCAGTTGCAGTCCCTCAGGGGTGTCCGACATACCAACAAAGTCATCCGCAAACAGCATTCCTGACACCGAAGTTTCCGTGTCCCCTACTTTTACTCCCTTCCGGACTGCCTCTACGACTTCCAACAGATCGTTGATGAACACCTGGAACAATGTTGGGGACAGCGTGCAACCTTGTGGGACCCCTTGCTCAATGTCGAAGAATTTAGACAGTTCTCCGTCTAGCATGACCGCGCTTTTCGTACACTCTGTCATCTTCTTCAGCACCCTCCACATTTTCCCCTTGATCCCGTACTTGGACAATTGTTTCCACAGCCCATTTCTCCATACGGTATCGTATGCCTTTTTCACGTCCAGGAAGAAGCAGTACGTCCGCTTTCCCGCCCTCTTTCTACCTTGGATGATTCTCCCTACCGTGAATGCGTGGTCTACGCACCCCCTCTTCTGTCGGAAACCTGCCTGGCCCTCACTAATGCTACGTTTCTTCTCCAGTACTCCCACTATCCTATCGTTGAACAGTTTACAAAACACTTTTCCTACTGTGTTCAACAGTGTGATACCCCTGTAGTTTCCTGGGTCAGTCTTGTCTCCTTTCTTAAACAGGTTCACAACCACTCCTTCCCTCCATCTACTTGGCGCATACTCGTTTTTCCACACCCAGTTGTACAACAGTACCATCAGCTGGATCATCCCCTTCCCCCCAAACTTCATGAACTCGTTTACTATCCCATCCGCCCCTGCTGCTTTGTGGCACTGCAGCTTGTTCACACACGCCTCAACCTCGTCCTCAGTGAACTCCTTTTCTAGTTCTACGTTCCCAACGTCTGCCTTCGATGTCTCTTCTTCTTTCTGGGCCCATGCGTCCACCTCCTTCTTAAACACTTGGTCAAAATCTTCATTCTCCGAAGGCACTCCAAGTCTCTTGTAGTGTCCTGCTAGAACTTCCCTTTTTCCCTTCCCACTGCTGACTAGTCCACCGTTCACACCTCGCAATGTTGCTACCCCTGTATCCCCCCCTTGCGCGGTCTTTTTTACCATCCCACTAATCCCTTCCCACATCTGCTTGACGTTCCCCTCCAGGCCTCCGTTGGCCTTCTGCACTACTTCGTCCCAAATGCTCTTTTTCTTCGTTTTCACTAGTCCCTTCACCTGTTTCCTCTTGGCCCTGTACTTTTCCCAACTCTCTTCAGACCCCTCACCCAGGTACTGCTTGAAGACTTCTCTACGTTCCCCTATTTCTTCTTTCAGCTCGTCATCCCACCACTTAACCGATACCCCACATCGTACCACCTTCTTTCCCACTACTCTCTCTGCCGTTGTGTTCACTATGGACTCCCATCCTTCAATCACCCTGTCCCCTGCTGCTTGTGCGTCTACCTTTCCGTCTTCGACGCTTCTCAGCAGTTTCCTGAAGGGTTCTACACTACCAGCCAATCCCTTCTGGAATTCATCGCGTGTCCCCTCGTCTCCCAAACGCTCTACTTTCCACCGGAACACTTTCCTCTTTTTCTTACTCTCCGTCTTTCTAGATCGGTCGATGTTTGCCCATATGAGGAAATGGTCGGTCGAACCTATATCTATTGCACTTACGTGCAGCTCCGGGACCTGTGTGCTCCCCCTATCTACCAGGATGTAGTCGAGGATCGAGTATTCATTGCAAACTGCCCTCTGCCTGGTGAACTCCGGCTTATCGCTTTCCCTCCTACCGTTCAACACCATCAGCTCGTTGCTTCCCAAGAATTCAAGCATCCTCACTCCGTTGTCATTCACTTTGTCTTCTCCGTGCTGCCCGATCGCCTGTCCTCTCCTGCAAGCTTTCCCTACTCTGGAGTTGAAATCGCCCACCATGACAACTTCTCCCTTCCTACTGAACCTCTGGACATCTTCCCCAATTTGTCCGAAGTTCTCCTGCGCCTTGCTTGCGACTTTCTTCGACGACGGTGGGACGTATACGTTCCCTAGAAACAAATCTTTCTCACCCCGCTCCCCCAGGTATCTTAAGCCATAGGCTTTCCTCGAACTCCGTTTTCACCACTACTTCCACCACGTCAAACAAGTGTTCCTTGACCAGGAATCCGACTCCCCCCTCCCCCCTTTTCTTCGGGTCTAAGCCCTTTCTTGCCTTCCCTACCCACCGGTACTTCCCTATTTTGCTTACCACGTCCCCATCCTTCAGTTCCCACGTCTCTTGGATCCCCACTACATCCAGATCGCTTTGTTCTACTTGGTCCACTATTTCCAACCGCTTGCGCTCACTCCTTGCGAACCCGCACACGTTCCACGACCCCACTCTCAGCTTGTGCTTTTCCCTATTGGAGATTTTGCGCACTCTATCCTTCGCCTTCCGCTTCTTCTCGGCGTTCTGCTGATATGCCTGCTCGTCTCCCCCGGCCGGTCCCTTCTTCGCCTCTATCGCCCTCGCCTCCTGTCGCCTTACCTTCTCTGTTTCTATCATGTTCGCGACGCAAACCCTCCATCCAAACTTCCTTACGTAGTTCGACAGCTTCTCGATGTCAACCCCCAAGCACTCTTGGCTGTCTCCCTTCGTCAATTTCACCCGGAAATGTTCATGCTCTCTACCTACTTCTCCCCTTGCTAGGCAATGCAGTCCCTCCGTGTCACAACAGTTCTTGAACTCTATCCTCGTCATGTCCCTTGGAATTCCAAACAGCAGCAGCTCCAACCTGTCTCCCTGCCACAGGTTCTGCTTCCATCCTCCCGGCTTCTTCACCATCCTCATGATCTCTACAGCAACTGGACCTCGGCCATTTGTTGTTCGTGTTTTTTCAGGAAGGTATACGGAATACTCGGCCTTCCCAGTCCGGGTGTCCGGTGGGGGTTGTGGTTCCTTTCAGTTCTTTTGCCGGCTCACCGACGCTAAATAGCGCCTCCAACATGGGCTCGTAGTCTAGATCCAAGTTCACACCTCCTGGCACAAGTACCCCAGTCTTGTGCCGGGCGTTCTGCTTAGTAAACACCCAGACGTCCCCCGACCACCCAATTTGTCATCTCCGAAGTCCCGCAGTACAGGCTACTTTCCTCCTGGGAGGTCATTTTCACCACAATAAGTTCAGGGACGACTTGCATAGCCTAAGATCCTACTCACACGCCGGGATGGATCGTACACCAACGTCCAGCTTCTCATGTACGCTCCACCATGGGTTGCTACCCCACTTACGCTCCCGAGTAGACCTATCTGCCGAAAGTTTGGCCAACAATTCCTTACTGCTTTGTACTCGCCTCTCTCCAATCGAAAACAATTCATTGTGCGTGCCGCACATCTAGCTCCGCAGTTTTTGCGTGGTTGGTCAGGTATTCGGGGGGGGGGGGGGGATCGAAAACACCATGCCACAGCAGTGGTAAGGTGAAGGCGAAGGCTGGGGGGGTGCTTGTCGGCATGAGCGCCGTGGCGAAGGCTGTCATTCTCGCGCATTGTGGGTGTGTGGTTGGAAGGTCAAACTTAGATACTGCTGTATCATGATGTCATGGCATCGCCGACGGAACGCAACGCATCAGAAGACAAGTCCGTGTGTACGCGCCAATGCTACCTAAGCTGGGTGTATAGGTCCCCGGATACTCCGCAAAACCAGAGGCACTCATTCTCCCCCTGTGCAACCGAGCACCAGAAAGATACCCCCAAGAGCGGCACGCAGCAGTTCTAAGGTAGCAAGCCAAAGGGTTTGTCGCAAAGTGGGCCCTACAAAAACGCGCGTTTTTATGCGTAGTCTACATACCGTCATGACGTTGAGGACGAACTCCCCCAGGATAGACACCGCCGCGACCCTTGCGATGTTCCTAGCGATGAGGTAGAAGGCGTTTCTCGCCGAGGTGCAGAAGTTCGTAGAGAAGATGGCAGTCTGTGGGGTAGAAAACAGCAACCAGAGGGGAAGACAGGGTTTAGTCTTTCTTGCAACCCACCAAGTTTGTCGGTAGTGTGGGAGTAAAACAGCAAGCAGACAGGGTTTGCACGGCTTGAAGTCTTTCCAAACCAATCATTTGTCGGGTTCGGGCGGATACGCATGGGGGCAGAGGGAATGTCGAAAACGTCCCCCGGATATACACAAGGAACCATTTCTGTTGTACTTTATAGGGACAAACTGAGGCCGGCCTTTCGCGATTAACGTCAACCAACCTTCGCCCCACAGACAAGAACGAAGCAGCAGTAGCTCTTAATCGTCCGCAGGCACCCCGGCTTGGCCTACGGCCTCAACATGGAGGGTGGCATTGTTCCGATCCCAACCGGGCAACCAACAGCGTCAAGAGCAGAAACGGCAGGGGGGGATCGCAGCCCGAGGGGGGGGGGGGGGGAAGCCCCACCAGGGCCGTTGAGACGGTTACCTAC